AGTTATGATCATCACTGCACACACACACACACACACACACACACACACACACACACACACACACACACACACACACACACACACGCATGCACGCATGCACACAAATACACACACACACGCACGCACGCACACACGCACAACCAATACAGACCATTAACATTGAATCCCTGGTCAGCTTGCCATTCCAGTAGCGCAATGCTTGCTAGGTTGCCTCATCAGCACACTGCAAGTGACTGCCTGAACAACATGGACCTCTACTAGCATCATGCACCATAAAGAAAAGACAGGCATGATACCAACAAGCCACTGAAAGGACTTTGAAGACAGAGACGCTGTCTGCCATCGGATGTTTGTACGTAGTCTTACTCTTCATAGTTCTGAATGAGTTCCATGAGGGAATTCATCTGCTTGCTCAGCTCTGCAGACACTGGAGACATCTCCGGAGACGGAGTTGGCTTGTCTAAACGCAGGGGTAAAACACACACACACACACACACACACACACAAAACCCACACACACAGACATTAGCCTACTTTAAGAACACATACCGGAGTGTACAACTACGGGTGGCAGCAAAGCATAATTCCCTGCTTATATATGAGTCATGGAAGTCAGGGCCAAGCCAGGATTTGTGACTGCATGGCCGTACGAGTACAACACAGTCTGTGCCATCAGAAATACGACAAACTAATATAGTGATAAGCGACGAATTGCTATCCTGATGTCGAATACAGAGTTGCCTACCCTTGTGTATGTACTCTTGATGCATAGCAAAGCGAGTAGATTGGATGAAAAATCCAGAGACAAAAACTTTGTGATATGAATACTGCATAGTGAGGTCATACTTACTTCGACCGGTGGAGGTTCGCTTGCGCTTCTGCAAGAGCATAGCCAGGTGGGAGAGAGAGAGAGAGAGAGAGAGAGAGAGAGAGAGAGAGAGAGAGAGAGAGAGAGAGAGAGAGAGAGAGAGAGAGAGAGAGAGACACACACACACACACACACACATGCGTAAGTGCACAGAACACACAAACACACATGCAAAAAAGACCAGCTTGTGTCGCGATTGCTGTCTTATAACTTCATTAGAGGCACAGAGAGAGAATGAGGAAAAAAAGTAACAAGAGAAAAGGGGATACTCAAAAAACGAAATTATTGCAAACACAGATACTGAAGTAGAATCTGGGGCTTCTAAAATTGTTTTGAAACTTTAGAGAGTTTTTGGTGGGCAAATGAACTCCTTTTTCTCTTTCATTTCCGTTTCTTTCCCTCGTTCTCTTTCTGCCTCTGATGAAGGCATAAGACAGAGACTGCGGTCAGGCTTAACCAAAGGAAACAAGTTAGTTTTGGGTCAGAGGTGTGTCTTTACCCATGTTGTGCAAGTACTTCAGTAGTAGTGGGACACTGCATTACTGAGAGGGAAACGAGCACGCACAATCTCACCTTTCTTGGTTCTCCATCGCTGTCATCATCCTCTGCTTCACTCACTTGCAGTGAGCTATTTGCTGATGATGGCTTTCCAGAGCGCCTTCTCTTCTCCTTCACCTCGTCCAGTGTGCCATCCTCAATGGCCTGTGTACATGTATGTAACATTGTATTCACACACGTACAAACACACACACAAACACACACACACACACACACGTGCAGCGAAGAAAGAGTGAACTGACAAAATGATGAAACCCGTAAGAGAGTTAGAAAAAAAATATAGGGGGGGGGGGGGGGGAAGTACGCACATAGAAAACAAGATAAGGGCGACGGACTGTCTCACCTTGAACCACCGTTTCTCAGACCCAATGATGAAAGGCGTAAGAGAGTTAGAAAGAAAGAAAGAAAGAAAGAGCGAGAGAGAGAGGGGGGGGGGGAGAGACAGAGAGAGAGCGAGACGGAGACAGACAGACGGGGGGGTGCACACAGAAAACAAGAGACGTGCGGCGATGGCGGTGGACTGTCTCACCTTCATCCACTGTTTCTCTGTCAGATGATCAGTATAGTCCACATCAGCACGCTGTCGCACACCACGGCCAAACAACTTGTCTTCCTCCTCCTCTGCTGTCAGACGTTCAACCTAACAACAACAACAACAACAACAACAACAACAACAACAACAGCAGCAGCAGCAGCAGCAGCAGCAGCAGCAGCAGCAGCAACAACAACATTGTGAGAATAAAGATTTGAAACAACGGTAGAGTAACAGAATAAGCACAACAACCACCAATGTGAGCATAAGACCGGGAGGGGGGGGGGGGGGGGGAGGGGGAGATGGTTTCAGGCCAAGACGGCGGGAAAGCAACGGGGACAGTGAGAAACACATGCAGTACGTCGACGGCAGAGGCCATTGCAACCTGCTCACACCCGGTGTAGGCCTGGACATTGAGTATGCTTGCCGAGGGCATGAGCAACGGGCATGCAAGGAGAAGCACTTTTGAAACTCTGCCCAGGGCACTTTGGAAACTCTGCCCAGGACACTTGTGTCACCAGCAATGAACACAGCACAGCAGCACTACAGACTGAACACAGCACACTTGCTAGTTTGTCCACTGCTAGGCAATGCCGCTGGGAACACCAGCCAATCTGGGGACTGGGGTATTGTTGCTAAACGTCTACCCCACCGCTAGCAGATACATGTATATCTAGTCATTGCTGCGGTGAGGAGGCAAGGAGTGTCTACAGCAGAGAGTCCTAGCATCTGGGGAGATGACGTGGGTGACAAGAGCGCAACGGGATGTGGGTTTGGCTCACGGGCTGCCGGTTTTAGTCACCCTTGTAGCAGGGTGGATTTTCTCACGCTTGCATATGGCATAGCTGGTCTGCACTGCGTTTGAGGTTAGCAGGTCGAGTCCGCGACGGCAAGCTTCATAGACCACACAGCAGCGTAGGCAGAATTTCCAAGTCCCCTGGGTGTCTAAACGCACATCATTCCCGGCGGGGTATGGGCTCGTGCCGTGTCTGACTCATCTCCCCCTGATAACACACTGTGATACACTGTGATGCACTGCGATAATCTCAGTGACTGTGACAAGAAACTCTACCCCGACATGAACTGTACCTCTTCCTCATCCTTCAAGAGCCACTCAGGAAGTTCTCCATCTTCTATCAGACGTGACTTGCCTATCCAGAACTCGTCCTGATAACAACAACAACAGCAACGGCAGCAACCATGTAAGAATGTTAGAATAGCTCAATTGGCCCGACTGCCCCCTCCCATTACACACACCCACACACACACACACACACACACACCCGGACTGACAGACAGACGCATGCACAGACGCATGCACATACAACGACAATGCCGATCACCACAAGCACCACTACACATGTGGCCCCAAACACACACACACACACACACACACACACACACACACACACACAAGCACCACTACATATGTGGCCCCAAACACACACACACACGCACAGACAGACAGACAGACAGGCAGACACGGACACATCTGCACACAACCATTACTACTCACAGTCTTTTCCAAATTGTTGCGCTCATTGTCCATCCTCTGTGTATGTGGAAAACAGAGGGACAAGATAGGCAAAGAAGACACCTGATTAGGAATACAATATTCCCACAGACACCGTATACATATCTGTTTACCCACACTCAGGATCGTGTACATCCAACAGATGACTATGCTATGCTGGCACACTGGTCTATCCGCACAGTTCTATCTACCACTGTCCTTGGCTGGATAATAACCTGCCTACATGTAACATAAACACAGGAAGCTGCTCCATGAATCCATCACCAGGGCCATGTAGCAAGCACTGTTTCTGAATGGCAGGAATAATGATCAGGTTGGTCCCAGTGAGTGGATGATAACACGACATTAGCGGCCAGGTGCTCCATGTCCGGTTGGTAGCATTCCCAAAGCTATGCAACAGGCATTACGCGGCAGTAGCCAGAATCCTCGCGCTTTATTCCCATAGCTATGCTAAAGACATCATGATCAGTGGCATCCAGCGCTAGCTAGGATCCACAACGCTTCATAGTCATTGCATATCTCTACGTGTGTGTGTGTGTGTGAGGCCGGGCGTGCAACGGACGGCGGTGTGCCGGGCGTGCAACGGACGACAGTGTGCCAGTGCGGGCAACGACGGGCAGTCACCCGTGACAGAGTAGTACAGTGGTGCTCAATGAAATCCAGTCACAGCGTCGCTCAAGTACGCGCTGGACAGCCCTACTGTAGACCTGCCAACACTGGGCTGCGGAATGGTGCAAGGCGCAAACTTGAGCGACGCTGTGACTGGATTTCATTGAGCAGCACTGTACATCATCTAGCTATGTTACATGTAGCTCAGTGAACTGATCATGATCATGAGTATGATGACAAGCATACCTAGGCTACAGCCTACTGTACCCAGCTCTCTCTCGTTCACTTGCTGCCCACTAGTAATAATATAGATAGAGGTCCTAATGTTACAACTTACCTGATACATCTCAAACTCAGGTTGGCCTCTAGCAATCATGTGATTCACTGTCTCATCATCAGGCACTTCCTCTTCCTCCTACAAACATCATAACCACAACAGCAACCACCAACACCACCATTACCAGCATCACCACCACCACCACCACCACCACCAACAGCAGCAGCAGCAGCAGCGCCACCACCAGCACAGAGCCAGAAAGCCAGACAAGATAAGCATCATCAGTAAAGCACAAAAGAACAGTACAAATTATCATATACCTACACACCAAGTGACCAAGGCTTGCTAACCTGTATTCTAACTTGAAATTGCTGAAAACAACTTCCAATAGGGTTTTGCAACAGGCTGCAAGTACGTGTATGTGCATGTGTAAACTTAACCAGGATCCTGACGACAATGCCACCAAAGTGGGGGTACACGTACATGCTGGCAGTGGAGAGACGTCTACATTGTAGCTACTCATGTCGCGTGGCGTATTGCTTACACATTCACACATTCACACCTCAGACCTGCCCATCACGGAAGCGATGATAGCGAACAGCTATGTTAGACATAGCAACTTGTGCTGGGATTACACCATTCAACAGCTTGCAAGGCTGATGAATTGACCGCCACTAATTTTAGCCTGGTATCCACCACACAGCTGATTGAAGCGGCTTTTTCTGGTCAGTGAATCCCTATTTTTCATTTTTTCATTTTCTCCATTTTTTTAATTTTTTTTACACACACATGCCACACGACATACTCCGGCATACACTGGCTGTTGGTAACCACCCAGGAGAATGAAAGAAGAGCTAGGAGAATGAGAAAGAGAAGAAAGAGAAGAAAGACATTCACACACACACACACACGTGCACGCGCACACACACTCCGACTGACCTTATCCTCCTCATCCTCATAGAGCAGAGCTTCCAAAAAGTTACGTCGCTCTTGGCCGGTAGACTTCTGATCAAACATTCCGGCTTGAATGACCTGTACAACCAGAACAGGAAGAGCAACAGCAGCAACGGCAGCAGCGGTGGCAGCAACAGCAGGATTGTTGTAAGCTACCCAAGCTTTAGCTGTGAACTCAGCACCATACCACGTCCAGGATCTACACACTCAAACTGTCCACCGATTAGCTTAGCTACGCGCAAACCACATTTGAAAAGACCATTGAAACATGAACACACGCCGCCATCATTATCACCATGCCGACAACACTGTACTCTTATTATGCCAGTGCTTGCAGACAAATGCTAACTTGTAAAGCAGAGTCAACGTACCGTATTTTCCGGAGTATAAGCCGCACCTCCCCCCCCCCCCCCATTTTTGCCACGAAATACAGACATCTACCCTATTTATCACCGTTAATTCCATCATCCGAGTATAAGCCGCACTCCCCCCCCCCCCCTTTCTGGGGTGAATTTTGAGTGTTCAAAGTGTGGCTTAAACTCTGGAAAATACCAGTACGGTCATCCTACCTTGTCATCAATATCCAGCTTATAGCGGGCCACAGCCAGGATCTTCTCCTCCACGCTGTTGACTGTGAGTAGCCGCAGGACACGCACTTCATTGACCTGACCTATACGATGAGCACGGTCCTGTGCCTGCAAGTCCTGATGAGGGTTCCAGTCACTGTCAAAGATCACAACCGTGTCGGCCGACTGCAAGTTGAGACCTAAACCACCGGCACGGGTACTCAGCAGGAAGACGAAGAACGGCGAGTCCTTGTCGTTGAACAAGCGCAGCATGTGCCCTCTGTCCTCCGACTTTGTCGTGCCGTCCAGGCGCAAGTAACGCCAGCCTGCCACAGACACACAGACACACAAAAAGCACACGTCCACAAAACTAGACACGGTGCGCAAAACCGTAACAGTACTCACAGCACGCACACGGATCATGTCTACGGTAGATTCATGACCTTTTAAGTTAAAAAATATATACATTACTTGAGTTCAAAAAGAACGAAACAGCATGCTGTCCGCAGATTGAGTATTTCGCTCCTGCTCTTGTAGCAGTTGAGCACTCTTGCGTGGGGTAGTGCCTTTGCTGTTTGCGTTATGCAGAGCTCACTGACTTGTCAGTTTGAGCACTCTGGCAAGGTACGTTCGGGCCTGATTGGAAATTTTTATTTCCATTGCTATCAGGTTCGGCCTCATTTTCTCTGTGCTGCGCTGATGAGTTCAAAAAGAACGAAACAGCATGCTGTCCGCAGATTGAGTATTTCGCTCCTGCTCTTGTAGCAGTTGAGCACTCTTGCGTGGGGTAGTGCCTTTGCTGTTTGCGTTATGCAGAGCTCACTGACTTGTCAGTTTGAGCACTCTGGCAAGGTACGTTCGGGCCTGATTGGAAATTTTTATTTCCATTGCTATCAGGTTCGGCCTCATTTTCTCTGTGCTGCGCTGATGAGTTCAAAAAGAACGAAACAGCATGCTGTCCGCAGATTGAGTATACATTACTTGTATTTGCCCCCAAACGGAGAGAGACAAATATGGTGGATAGACAGGAATGCCCACCTGGGCACCACCATACTGCAGTGTCACAATGGCACTACCTCTGTACTATACCGACATGTACCCGTACTCGTATATACAAAAAAAGACAACAAGTGAACAAGTCGCTGGTTGTAAGGTTTTAAGTTGTACTAGTGTGTACCTCTCCAAGCAAGGTAGTCTTCCAGGATGGTCATACAGCTGGTCATCTGACAAAACAGTAGCACCCTGCAGAAGACAGGCAGACAAACAACAGGACAGGAACACACGATTATAAGAGCCGCAGGGATCTGAACTTCGACTTCATGAGCCCCGCCCCCATAGCCATGACCAGCATGATACTGATCACATTGTGCAGTGGATGGTAGTGCGTGGTGCACACTGCACAGCAGCACAACAACTGATGTACTTCAACTACATCTATACCATAGCACAACATAACACATTCTCAATGACATCACAATGACATCATCACTACTACTCACTTGTGCCCAGCCTTCTTCAGCTTGGGAAAGACGCGATCAAGTAGTTCAAACTTGCCAGATGCACGGAACAGGTCAGGTCTGCAACAAATGTGACGAAAAGAAAAATTAATAATTTTAAAATCTCTCTCCTTCACTACAAAACAATGGCCCCGTTCAGATCAGGAATACACTAGACGGGACTGAACAATTGCCAATGAAGAAAAGACAACTATGGCACTTACAAGTTTAGTTCAAAAGCTCAAAACAAAGTAACTCACCCTTCAATGAAGTTTGTTTGACTTCCAATGTGTTCGCTGTACGCCTCCTGAAATGCAAAAGTGAGAAAGTAGCAGAAAGAGTTACATGCAGTACCATATTGTCACAGTGTGTGAGTGTGAGATAGGACCTTGGAAGAGTGTCCAAAACTTACAGACATACTTAAATTCCCTTCCACCGAGCTAAACAATGTGTTCATCCAACACACAAGGAAAGGAATGTATTCGTAGATAGCATTTCCTTCACGTACCTCCATCTGTTGAAACATGAAGGGGTGGTTGCAGATCTTGCGCAGCTGAACAATGGTGTTTTGCAGTGACCTGGTTCCACCTTTGCCCTGAAGAAAAAGAGAAAACAAAAATAAAAAAGAAAAAATTCGACCACGCCAGGATTCGAACCTGGAATCTCCTGATTCGTAGTCAGGCGCCTTATCCGTTGGGCCACGCGGCCAGTCACAGCAACAGCAAGCTACCATAGGGTAAATATGTAACAGTCAAGTGACACACACACCTTTTTGTTATTCTCTGAGCCATCTGTGAGCAGAACACCTCGTTTCTGCATGTGACGATAGATACGACGTTGCAGAGACGACATCTCGCAGCGGATCACATACTCCGTCTGCAAATATACATACACATGCATGCATGCGCGCACCCACACACATGCATGCAGGCATGCACGCGCCCACACACACACACATACACATGCATGCAGGCATGCGCGCACCCACACACACACATACACATGCATGCAGGCATGCGCGCACCCACACACACACATACACATGCATGCAGGCATGCGCGCACCCACACACACACATACACATGCAGGCATGCGCGCACCCACACACACACACATGCATGCAGGCATGCGTGCACCCACACACACACATGCGTTCAGAAGGATACCATGACCCGGCAGCTTGATAAGTAGATGACTGAATCGTCATTATCACAGAGTTCTGGCCCTCACAACTGCTGACTTCAAACATGGGTCATTTTGATACGGTATGTAGTAGACCAATCAGCAGCAAGCTAAGGACGGGTGGCATGGCAACCTGACTGCATTGTACTTGTGTATAGCCAGCCATCCAGCCATCCAGCCAGCCAGCCAGCCAGCCATCCAGCCAGCCAGCCAGCCAGCCATCCATCCATCCATCCATCCAGCCAGCCAGCCAGCCATCCATCCATCCAGCCAGCCAGCCAGCCAGCCAGCCAGCCAGTCAGCCATCTAGCCAGTCAACCAGCCAGCCAGCCAGCCAGCCAGCCAGCCAGCCAGTACTTCTGCAGATATCAGTGAGACGCGAGGTAGACACTGGAGACATCAAGCAATGTTAAGTCAGCAGCACACACGGTCAGCCAAGCATGTAGGATATGTTGTGAGCTTTAGCAAACGTAGTCTGTAATGAATGATGAATGGTTTACATGACCATGGCACACAGTATAACATGGCAGCAGCTGTGCACTCTGTGCTTGTCAACAAACCTTCGACGGCAGTTGTGACTCCACTTCTTTCTTCAAACGGCGAAGCAGGAACGGACGCAGCACCTTGTGAAGACGACGAATGATGAGAATAGTTTCCTCTTCGTTCAGTTCCATCTTCAAGCACAGAGAGAGAGAGAGAGAGAGAGAGAGAGAGAGAGAGAGAGAGAGAGAGAGAGAGAGAGAGAGAGAGAGAGAGAGAGAGAGAGAGAGAGAGAGAGAGAGAGAGAGAGAGAGAGAGAGAGAGAGAGAGAGAGAGAGAGAGAGAGAGAGAGAGAGAGAGAGAGAGAGAGAGAGAGGGAGAGAGAGAGAGAGAGAGAGAGAGAGAGAGAGAGAGAGAGAGAGAGAGAGAGAGAGAGAGAGAGGAGAGAGAGAGAGAGAGAGAGAGAGAGAGAGAGAGAGAGAGAGAGAGAGAGAGAGAGAGAGAGAGAGAGAGAGAGAGAGAGAGAGAGAAAGAGAGAGAGAGAGAGAGAGAGTGAGAGTGAGAGAGAGAGAGAGTGATTGTGAACGCGGATGCCTGTACCCCAAAGTAACGCCAATTCTACAACTGACCAACCCCCAACAGTGAACATAGCCACAAACGCAAGTTCTAAGAGCACGATACCGGTGCCTATGAGCAATAACACAGGACACTGCACCAGCCTTATATGCATTGAATCAGTATGGCGATGGGACCCATACCAGGGGCATTGGGGATTATACAGCTATTTTCGGAATGTATTTAAAAATAATAAAGGAATTCGGATGGACACACCCATTTCCCATAGCGCTGCACATCCGAACCAGTTCCGTTATTTTACGTTTCGGCACTTGGCCATCGTTAGGTAAGAAGAAAAATGAATAAAAATAGTTGTAAAATAACGGACCTGGTTGGGATGTGCAGCGCTATGGGGATGTGCAGCGCTATGGGGATGTGCAGCGCTATGGGAATGTGCAGCGCTATGGGGATGTGCAGCGCTATGGCAATGTGCAGCGCTATGGCAATGTCTACCCGAATTCCTTTCACAGATTCGTATACCGGCTTGGACTATTTTGGGCCAATGTACGTGAAACAATCAGGAGCAACCACTAAGGTATGGGTTTGCTTATTAACTTGCCTAACTACTAGAGTAGTACATTTGGAATTAGTCGATGATAAGACTGCTGCTGCATTCATGCTTGCATTGAGAAGATTTGTTTCAAGATGAGGAACACCTAATCGATATTGTCGGATAATGCATTACAGTAGGGAGGTTTAGTTGCCACGTAACGGAAACGCGTACCTGGGTGATCCACGTAAAGTGGAAGGGCACCCACGTTGCAATGTTGTTTTTAGTCACACGGAACAAACAAAAGCATAAAGCGAAAGGCCCAAACCTGGTCAAAGATGAAGCTACCCGGGCCTAAGAAGCTCATCCAATATTTTGATTTTGTGCTTCGGAAACTTCTTCAGCTGAGCACCCTCACAGCTCGCACAATGCGCTCCATTCTGATTTTCACCCACGTTCTGGCGGAACGTGGGTGAGCCTCCATACACGGTATGTTGTGAATCAGAAAACGTCTGTACGTGCGTCACTGAGTATCACGTGGTACACACACGTAAAGTACCCACGGATTACGTGGGACTTAACCTCCTAAGGAAGCAACAGGCTAAGGAAGCAACAGAACTATTGTGGGATACCATTTCTCAAGATGCAGATGTGCATTCGTACCTAAGTGCTACTGGGTCCAGGTGGACATTTATTGTGGAGCTGTCCCCTTGGATGGGCGGCATTTACGAAAGAATGGTGCAGGTCGTGAAGCGCGCCCTGCGTAAGTCGATTGGTCGGAAGTGTCTGTCCACAACGGAATTATTAACGGTGCTCACAGAAGCACAAGCAATTTGTCAACAAACGGCCACAATTGTATGTGGGAGACATGGTGGATGGTGATGATATCCTTACCCCATCTCACTTTGTAACCATGAATCCCAGGCTAGGAATGCCTACAATCAGTATAATAGATGATGATGATGATGACTACGATGAACAACAACGTTCGGCACAGATGTTCGTGGAAACATACCGCACTGGTGCCACAATTCTTGCCAGCTTTTGGAAACTGGGGCAGACAGGTTATCTCAGCAGTTTACGAGAACGAGGAAGCTACCGTTTACAGAGAAAGGAGGTGCCGTGGAACGCGAGCCACGTACAGGTGATATTGTACTGGTGAAAGAAGAAAAAATGCCACGGAGTAACGATAACAATGTACGGTCAGCAACAGTGAGATTGCCAAGCTCAAAGACGCTTCGGCGACCACTGATTTTGCTGTACCCAATGGAACTCAATATCAATAATGGAAAAACCAATGACAAAAACGAAGATTCGGCAAACAACGGTTCGGCAGACGGCGGTTCGGTACACAACGACACAGCAAACGACAACGGCGCTGCAGATGATGATCAGCAATTAGTCAACAATGGTGATGGCGGTACAGTGCATGGCGGCACAGAAGTTAAAGCAAGAGGCAAGAGGCAAGCTGCTCAAAGGAGTACGGAACAGCTTAGACAATTGATTGTGTCTGATTCAGTTTAACATAACCATTTGAGTATGCATGTTTGTTCTAGGCGTACTATTCTCGACGGGAGTGTCGCAATATGTGCGAATGCCGGACTGTCAATATTTGAATACATGTGACGAGTGCAATTTGAATTTACGGTATTTACAATTTGTCTTTACGTCGCACTCTTACCTAAGGTATGTCCCAGGAGCGATAGGGTCCATGTCCCATTGCCCATAGCTAAGTTATAGGTATAGTAATCATTTGTAGTAAAGTAGCTTGACACATAACTAGCTTCGCTCTATAATCTTGTTCTGAAATGAATTTCATGTCTGCAATTATTTGATCTCTTCGATCGAACGGTCGATTTATTTGAACTACATTTTCATGATTTATTTATTTCCCTTTTTTTGCATGCACACACTGGCCGCGCTCCAGTGCGGCCGCCATCTTAGCGTCAATACGCGATCGCTACGATGCACTTCCCAAACTGGCTGGCTTTTGCACGCAGCACAATCCATTTTTGGTTTCTCACTTTTTGCACACTATACGCTGGGAAGGCATGCGTACACTGCCGTGTGAGCGAATCCTTTTTCGGAGAGCTCTGTTGTAGTGCTTTGTGTCCTTCTCTTGGTAGTTTTCTTCCCCAAACAGTATTCTTTATGTGGTGAAAGAAGAGTAAGAACGAACCAGGTCTCTCTCCCTTCGCGAAGTTGTCGCGGCAGCTGCTGGCCAGCTGTCCGCGGCGGAGTGTGCATGCATCGCAATAAGTGAAAGTGAAATTTTACCACAGATGAAGCTGCAGGAAGCCTCAGCCCGTCTTAAAATAATAAGTATGTACCTTTTCTGTCGTCATGGCAAATGGTGCGTTGAACCACTGCTCAAATGTGGTCACCGACTTGAAGATCGTCGGCAGTAGGAAGTTCAGAATAGCCCACATCTCTGGAAGGTTGTTCTGTAGAAAATGAAAAACATCAAAATGTGGTAATTACGATGGTACACGTAAATATTGAGAGAGAGAGAGAGAGAGAGAGAGAGAGAGAGAGAGAGAGAGAGAGAGAGAGAGAGAGAGAGAGAGAGAGAGAGAGAGAGAGAGAGAGAGAGAGAGAGAGAGAGAGAGAGAGAGAGAGATTGGCAACCAGGCAGCTATATATATAATTACCTGCAGCGGTGTTCCAGTGAGAATTAGACGGTGGGCGCTGGCATAGAACTGGTTGAGGATCTGTGTTAGTTTGCAGTGGTGGTTCTTCATACGATGACCCTCATCAATGATCAAGTATTCCCATTTCACCTGCATACATAGTGCACACATATACACACGGCTGCACGAGGGTTTCCAGTGCTATTTAACTTTATGCAAGGATACATGACATTGTGTAGTGTATACATGACACAGAACATTGTACTGATGGGATGTGTGCTATACTGAGCCCCCCCCCCCCCACACACACACACCCCTCCACTCTGGGTGTATGCCAGGTGAGGTTACTAATACTGACCTTGCCCAGAACAGCTCGGTCCTTCATCACATACTCATAGGTAGTGAGGAGAACAGCAAACGTAGTCGAGCGAAGTTGATTGGCGATGCTGCGGCGCACGTTGGGAGAACCCTGAACACACAAGACAGGACAGCACACATGCACAACACACAGACACACACACACAACACAAGCATGCACAAATACATATACACATGCACGCACACGCACACACACACACACACACACGCATCAGTACAGAAAGTGGCCCGCTTAGCAACCACCGACCCCCAGCAAGAATCTGCACAAAGAAGAACATCTGCAATCTACATGTGCACACGCAACCAGAAAACAAACCTGACAAAAACAAGCAAGCCTAGCAAGTTCTAAAGCTGGTACATGTACATGTACTGGTGAGGACGTCTGGCATCTTTTCAAACCTGTGTAGGGAGTACAGTACTGGAGATAAATTTGAACACTTTCCCTGTGGAAAATACAGATCTGTAGAAACGAAGAGTGCGGTAGGGGCAATACCTTGTAGATAAGCTTGGGAACAGACGGAGCCCATCGTTCAAACTCAATCACCCAGTTGGAAAGAGTCCTGCAAGCACATAATCGAAAGACACAACATAAGCAACAAAAACACACAGGGAGAGAGAGAGAGAGAGAGAGAGAGAGAGAGAGAGAGAGAGAGAGAGAGAGAGAGAGAGAGAGAGAGAGAGAGAGAGAGAGAGAGAGAGAGAGAGAGAGAGAGAGAGAGAGAGAGAGAGAGAGAGAGAGAGAGAGAGAGAGAGAGAGAGAGGAAGGGGGAAAGGTAGAAAGAGAGAGATCTGATACAATAAAAATAGAAGAAAATATGAGGTGCAGAAAATCAGCTTCCTCAACAGTACACCACCCTGTTACTTACGACAAGGGGACAATGATGAGGAACGGTCCAAAATAGTTCTTCTTCTCTATCAGATAGGTGATGAGCGAAATGGTCTGAATAGTTTTTCCAAGTCCCATCTCATCAGCCAGAATACCATTCAGGTTGTTGATATGCAGGGACACTAACCACTCCAGACCGGCAACCTACAACAACAACAACAACAACAACAACAACAACAACAACAACAACAACAACAACAACAACAACAACAACAACAACAACAACAACAACAACAACAACAATCTCTTATTGGCGATGGTGCCATTGTGAGAATAAAGAATTCAACAACAACGACGACAACGATAAATTTTGACGACACAACACCACCACCACATCGTATTGACTACAGGCCATCCCTAAATCCCAACAACAGAATCAGCAGCAGCCTCACTACCACCAGCAAATAATAATAACATAGCAGTAATAGTAATAGTAATAGCGACATAGTTACTCCATAAGTATTGGTAGTTGCAGTACAAGCAACAGTAAAAGCAACAGTAACAACAGGAGCAGCAATGACTGCAATGGCGGCGGCAGCAACAGCAGCTGTGAGGAACGGAAGAGGCACGGACAATGGCAACGGCAGCTACGCAGCAGCAATGGCAGCAGCAGCAATGGCAGCAGCAGCAGCAATGAGGAAGGACGGAGTTGTAGGCTACTAGTAAGCTTACCTGGTAAGTCTTGAGGGTACCAAACTGGAGCAGGTCTGGTTGCTTGGTAACAGCTTCCCGTCGGTTATGTGCCATAGAATAGTAGGTCTTGTTCTCATCACACTGATATTCGTCTTCTTCGTCCACCGCACGGTCTTTCCTGTACACACACACGTACACACAGAGGAACACATACAAGAATCGGTGTTTGGGCAAGAAGCAAGTTCAGCCAGCATAACTCTGCAGCTGGCGTGCACCAGGGTTCACTTGCATTGTCATGTGAAAGTCTGCCATCGCAGACCTCATAGGCTCCAGCTGCACACTCTTCATGTATACCAGTGAGATCAGCACATCAGACGAGAGAGCTTGGAAGCTCAGGGCCCTGCGCTATGCTTTGTTGCCTAGCTCATCGTGCATGTTGTTAGAACTGATGGAAATCCTTTTTCCTTTGATTAGCTACATCATTGTATTGCAAAAACGTTTCAATGTACTGAAGTAACGTCTTCTGCATAGCTATGGGACCGACGCCGATCACGGGCTTTTTTTTTGCTTTTTCCTTTGATTAGCTACATAATTGTATTGCAAAAACGTTTCAATGAGATGCTGAAGTAACGTCTTCTGCAAAGCTATGGGACCGGCGCTGACTCTGCCGATCACGGGCGTTCTGGAGTCGACGGGATGTCTGTCCTGACGTTTCCTGGGACCGGCGCTGACTCTGCCGATCACGGGCGTTTATCTTCTTCTTATTATTTTACTGACGGCAACTAACATCCATTCTGATTGCATTTACTCGTCTCCCTACTTCGTATTTCTTTCCAGAAAAGCTCCCCATACAGCAGGGAGTCGTTTACATAATATGCCTCCCTGCTATACATCTACATGACTGTATAAACGTTATAATTAATATGCTATCCGCCTACATGCGATTCCCGGGCTGGTCGACAGGCGGCCCAGCCAGCTTGCTAGTGGGATCTCGGCCTCGCACACAAATCCACACAAAATGTTGCTGCACTGAATGCATTCCCCCGATACACTTCGCATATATACTCAGGCTGCGTTTACACGACAACGATTGAAAACGATTTCCGTTTACACGACAACGAAGTAGGACCTAAACGGAACGAAATCGTTGCGTTTACTACTATCATTGACACGACAACGCCCGAAAACGATACCTAAACGGAACGAAATGGAAACGCACTTCAAAGTGTTTTGAAACGTTTTCAAAACGTTTTCAAAACGTTTTCGTTCTCGTGTAAACGGTGAAAACAGTGAAAACGATTGGAAACGGAGCGCGGTCATGGAAACCATTTCGCGCGGGACTATATTTCGCGGGAAATACCTGACCTTTGCGACCACCAGCACGTACCAACTCCAACTAACGTGTTACTTCCCGCCCTTGCGCCAAGCCAGCACGTGCTAACTCCAGCCTGATCGCCCGTTTTCCGTTTTCGTGTAAACGGTTCAAAACGATTTGCCGTACTCCTGTAAACGGTTTGAAAACGATTCGAGGCCAGCCCGTTTTCGTTCCGTTTCGTTCCGTTTCGTTTCGTCTCCGTGTAAACGCAGCCTCATTCCCTTGATGGTACCGTACTCTTGATGGTACGGGACAGGTACGGGATAGCGCCAGGCATGTCGATGGCACAAACAAACAAAAATATTGTGGCCAGCTGCCTTTGCTGGTACGGTACAGTACGGGACAGATACGGGATAGCGCCAGGCGTAACACAAACAAACAAACAAACAAACAAACACCAAATTAAAGCTGTGTGGACCCTGGCTAGCGCCAGACGTTACTGAAGTAACGTCTTCTGCATAGCTACGGGAATAAACAGCATATAGACAGACAGACACTCTGGACAGGTTCTGTTGGACCCCACTAATCTACTCAAGTATTTGATGCAGGAATGTTATCTAAAGCAGCCTTCCTCTTGGCAGGCACACGCCTCCAACACCTACCGAATATTGATTTTCCGCTTCTTCTTCTTGGCAGTCTGACTGTCTTCATCGCCGGCAGCTTTGTCTGTTGTAGCCTTGGCACTCTCCTCCGCACCAGGCGCGTCTTCACCTTCTTCCGTTTCCGCTGTGGCAGTCTTATCCTGGCTATCATCATCATCCTTTGACGCTTTGTCTTCATCGCCTTCATCCTGATATGTCCAACAACAACACCAACACCAACACCAACAACAGCAGCAGCAGCAGCAATAACAGCAGCAATACCAGTTTTACAACACAAAGAAAAGAACACACCAGTTGAAGTCGAAAAGAAATTCCTGAAGGTGTGTAGTCTGCCAAGACACACGCACTGAGTCCAGACATTCAATTGGTCAGCAGAAGCAGGCATTTAGCTGTGGTGTACATCTGCAATGTGACATGCAATGGAGAACGGAAGAGAAAAGTTGGCAGACTAAGATCTTAGATGGCACAAGAAGCTACTAGTACAGTGACGGGGTGACTGTCGGTGAAAACCGCACTTCGATCCGACTAACCATGTCAGAGCCATCGTTGTCTGATGCTGCGTTCTCTGGTTTGTCATCCTGATCACCAGGTTGACTGCTCTCTGTCGAGTCGGTGCGTTCCAGCGCATCGCTCGGCACAGCTTCATAACTATCACAACAACAACAACGATGGCAACACAAGGCAACGCAACAACAACAGCAACAGCAGCATCAGCAGCAAGCAGAAATTAGATGGAGGTGAGAGTTCAACAGCAGCCCCAGCAATGAGCCTACAGGCTAGGCCAATATGACGGCAGCAACAGCAGTCAGGCATGTCACTGTGGCAGTAAATATTACTATTTATTAGGACAGACAGCAACAACATCTCCACAAGAGTAAAACCAAGTGGATACGCTAGCAACTCCACAGATGAAACAAGCCATTCTTACCTGGGATGAGATTCGAGGAAAGCGGCGAGTTCACTTTGCCGCGGAGCATTCTCGTCATCTACAACTTCTCCTGTGTCCTTGCGTCGCACAGGCACACGTTTATCCGCAGCCTCGGCAGCACCAGCAGCAGCAGCAGCAGAGGCAGCATCACCGCTAGCATCAGTTGGAGCAGTGTCGAGCTGTGACTTTCTACGAATACGGCCCGTAGCACCGGAACCAGTCTTCTTGTGCTCACGTACTAACTGAGTCAGCTGCCCAATGAAATCGTCGGTTTGGTTGAGAAGGTACATGAGACGAGAATCTTTCTGCTGGGCAACCAGTGTGCGATAACCTTCTTCATCCTCCGCCTGCAAATCAAGCAAACATATCAAACCAAGAGGTACAGGAACTTTCGTATGAGACACTACTAAGTCAGTACTGCAACACTGCAGCACAGTCCCAACTGGCAACTGGCCCAAGTTAAAGGGGAAGTTAAGGCAAAAATTAAAATTTCACCAGTTGTAGTCTTCGGGGTGCTGAGTCGAATGGTCTTGGTCCGAGAAAGCTGAGACGCTCCCTTCCTACTTGAATCCCAATCGAACTCGCGCACTTCCACCGAAACTGGGTGACTGCGCCCTACTAGATGGGGATTTGTATGCAAAATGTCACTAAAAGCGCCATTTCGTTCTTATAAAAGCACGGATGACCGCGATTGGCCCATATGTTGTATTCTTTTGGACGCTGAGTCGATTGGTTTTGGTCCGAAAAGGCTGCGATGCAGCGTTCCTCCTTTATTCCCAATCGAACATGGTTGAACAAGCGGTCACGTGCTCCTGCGTACACCAGTCACCTGGTCACCGTGCCTGCAGGGTACAACTTACTAGCCTGTTTGACCTTTTTTGGGTGCAGTCCTGTCACTCAAGTTGAACTCGAGTTGAACCTTGGTGTGAAAGTTGTCGCCTGCTGGCGTGGTGACCAGGTGATTTTGGCACCCAGGAGCACGTGACCGCTTCTTCAACCATGTTCGATTGGGAATAGAGGAGGAACGCTGCATCGCAGCCTTTTCGGACCAAAACCAATCGACTCAGCGTCCAAAAGAATACAACATATGGGCCAATCGCGGTCATCCGTGCTTTTATAAGAACGAAATGGCGCTTTGAGGCTGTGTTTACATGAGAAATTTCAACCCGGGTCGAGTTCAGCCCGGGTTGAAAGTCTGTACGATAGACAAAAGAGGTGAGCGTTTACATGAAGACAGTTGACCCGGGACAAATACTGATATGCCGCCAAAAGTCCACTTCTACAGTCCTGTATGGTCACGTGAATCCGTTCGCGCGAAATTTGCATCTGCAGTCACAGTGCAGTGCCGTTCAAACCTGGCGCGAGATACGCACATAAGTACGTTTGTACGATTTTCTTGACCCGGGTTGATTTCAACCCTCCCCTTGGGGGGAGGGTTGAAATCAACCCGGGGCGAAATTTCAACCCGGGTCAAGCGCAATGCGTCATGTAAACGCGCAATTCATTTTATGCACATGGCGGGTTGAAATCTGACCCGGGTCGAACTCAACCCGGGTTGAAACGCCTCATGTAAACACCGCCTTAGTGACATTTTGCATACAAATCCCCATCTAGTAGGGCGCAGTCACCCAGTTTCGGTGGAAGTGCGCGAGTTCGATTGGGATTCAAGTAGGAAGGGAGCGTCTCAGCTTTCTCGGACCAAGACCATTCGACTCAGCACCCCGAAGACTACAACTGGTGAAATTTTAATTTTTGCCTTAACTTCCCCTTTAAAACTGGAGCAATACAATCGGCATACAATAGACTGCAGTGTGTAGACAGTAGTATGGCGTGCATGTTGCTTTACTATCTGCCATCTATGCTAACATGGAAGACAAATAAGGCAACATTGGATAAAGGAAACAAGATGGGTCAGCTGTTGGTCTCCCCTGCCCCTGCTCCCCCCCCCCCCCCCCCCCACCCCTATTTTGTCCTGGCTAGAACCGTTCTGTGTGTGACCAACCGACTCACCATGAGGCGGCGAATTCTCTCCTTTTCCAGGCGCTCGGTTTCTCTTTTCTGCTCTCGCTCAGTGTTGGCATGGTGCAGCATGACGTTCTTGGCCACCTTGGCCGTTCGCACTTGGTTCTGACGATGGTATTCACGGAACTCCTTGCCATGCTCGATAACGCTGTGCAAGAAGTCCTGTTAGCAGCACACCACAGCACACATAACAGCATGATTGCGATAAAGCTGAACTGAAATCATCATTACACGCACAATGCCATAACTAAAATGCTAAACACTGATACCAGCTAGCAACACATGCAATGAATTTCCCACGTCAAATTTCTTTACCCTACCTTCCTATGTGAACTACAAGCAACTGATACAAAGGCAAAGAAAAGGAATATAAAGCATCACAGTGGTGGTAATCATAATGGATATCTTTAACAAGAAGGCAGCAATGCTCCTTCATTGTGGCAAACTAAAACAATATACCAACCAACCAACCACCACGTTCCACAATGAGCAAAAAATAGACAAAAGACACACATGCAAACAAATAGACAAAAGACACATGCAAAATTAGACAAGAGACACACGGGTAGAGGCCACTTACCAAGTGTTTTTGCCGTTCCTTGCGGAATTTCTCCTCCTTTTGCTGCTTTTCCAGCTTCTCCGTGCTCCTAGATAGCCCACAACAGGTGTTAGCAGTACAGAAATAGAGATGAATTGTTCAATTCATAGTGTGCGAGTAGAATCCAACACGGTTTGCTCGGGCCTGACATTTATTCCGGCTGTGAGAACAATGATCTCATTGCCACTAAGTAATACATCTGAATACGTTTAATTCCACTATAAGCACTCCATTGAGGACAAACCAGTACTGCTGGCACAATGAGCATTAGAGTAATCATTGCTACAGCAGCAGCAGCAACAGTCGCATGAGCAGCACCAACATCATCAGCAGAAGCAGCACCAGCAACAGCAGCAGCAGTAACAATAGCAGCAGTAACAGCAGCAGCAGCAGCAGCAGTAACAGCAGCAGCAACAGTAACAGCAGCAGTTGTGATCTGCAATCCCTGTGAGCATGATTCACTGGCGATGCAAAGTTTCACCGTGCCTAATGTGGTGGTCTGTTACATGTATGAGAGGTTCCAAGGCATCACACTGCCGAAAGTGCATGTACTTCATGGCTGAGTGCGGGACTGAGCTGCCCTGATAACTTGACATGCGGTTGAACTGTACAATGTTGCACTTAAAATTATTTAATATGCTCTATTTACTTGTCCTGTAAAGCTTCCCTTTCGCATGAACAGCTTCTACGTTTTCAATAAAGGTTGCTTTCCCAGTAGCAGTAGTAGCAAAAACTTACCTAGCTTCTCGCAGGGACTGCTTCTTGACGCATTTGTACAGCTTAGGGTTTAGAACAGATGCAAGGATAGACTCTTGTCGACACGCTTCTAATACACTGCGCCGAACCTATACAAAATATACATGTATGCATGCCACCACACGTATGAACATAGGCACACACGCACATATACACATTAACAGATGAGGTGTGTACAATTAGTTTTGCTTTTTCTTGGTGAAATCCTCAAAAGGTGTGTGTGTGTGTGTGTGCGTGCATACGTGTGTGTGTGCATATGTGTGTGTGTGTGTGTGTGTGTGCATGCGCGTGTGTGTGTGTGTGTGTGTGTGTGTGTGTGTGTGTGTGTGTGTGTGTGTGTGTGTGTGTGTGTGTGTGTGTGGTGAAGAGAAAAAAACCAATTTGCAGTGCCAGTAATACTAGCACTCAATCTCCCAGAGTGACTGGACAGAACATACTACATGTACGGGACATGGAGCAGGTGTACTATGTTTGAGAGCCCTACATTATGCTACAGTGGTCATTTGACTTTAGACAGAGAGCACCTCGGCTATGAACAACAGATATTGATGTCAATGGTAGGCACGATACTACAGGGGCTCAATCTGCTTGTCGTGACCTGATGTTATTAACCATTTCTCACCTGTCTCTGTAAATCTACCAGACGCAGAGCTCTCAGCTCAATCTGCGCTTGTGTCGCAATGTCTTCTCTCAAGCCAGCTATGGGAATCTGATTTAGCTGCTCCACACGGCTCTGAATACGCCCAGCGATGCGTAACTCTCGCTCTCTCAGCACCTTGGCAGGATCCACTCCAACGGGCCTGGGTACGGTTGTTCGAGATATTTTATTCTCACACTGTGCTACACTCAGTACATGGGCAGGTACACCTTTATTGGAGGAGAGATAACGAAATGCCACGATTTGAGCTTTCAGCTGTTGCTGTTGTTCCTCGCTGAGATGATTTGAAGGAGCTGAAGCTGCAGCTGAAGCAGCAACTGCAGCTACTTGGCCAGATGGGTCACTTTGTTGACTTTGCAAAGTCTCATCTGCCATGCCAGACGGTGAAGGCCTGGAGGAGGCATTATTCGCCAACATCTTGTTTGCATGGGGGTAACTCATGCCGGTCCTTTACGCCACGGCGCCAGCTGATCACTGTAAAATACTACCATGTGTACACGGGTAGAACTGCTTCCTGGATAGCACCAAACTCACCGAGGAGTTCTCTAGAAAGGTTGCAGACGCTGCTCGACGCTCCACTGATATGATACAGCCTTGTCGTATGAAAGAAAAATGCGATTCAACCAACAATACGATGCCGGAATGGAGAGAGGAGCGGGAACAACAGATAGTTGATAGCCGTGTGAGAAGCTTCAAATAAACTCTAAACCAAAGACCTAGATGAAGAGATTTCTGACTCCGCTGACCTGCAAAGAGTTGGCTACATATTAAAGAAGACAGATGAAGACCATTATTTTTCAAATCAAAACAAACCGAGTTTTTGTTTTGTTGTTCTTCAACGAATATTGCAGAAAATGGAGAAAAAAAGTATAAAAAAGGTCGGGAAAATAATACGCGCGCGAGCATAGACTCGGCGGGGATCGGGGGGCCCGGGGGGGGGGGGGGGGGGGGATCGGGATCGGATAAACGCGTCAACTGTGCCTGTGCCTGTGGGTTTCGCTGCGTGGGGATGCTGCCTTGCTGGCTACATACTCCAGTAAATCATGCTGCGCCAGTACTGCGGTTGTTGCTGCTGCTGCTGTAGTTGTGTGCTGTTGCTGTTTTTTTTTGTGGCAGTGGTGGTGAGGTTTAGGGAGCTCCGCCGACCATGTACCACGGAAGTAGGGTCTCGACTTCATAGCCACCTATATTTGTAGACGCACCAAGAGTGGGTGGGGGAGGGAGAGCGAGAGAGAGGCTTTTTTGTAAATGGTTGTCGTTTTTCAGCAACTCCTAGGCAAGCTACAAGTCCAAATCGGCAAGTGGAAGTACCTACTAACACTACTATCCTTCATGCCAGTTGAGTCCAAAAATGGGAATGATCCCCCTCTGGAAAGTGCCTTGAATCATGTATTCTCAGTATTCAAATACTACTTGTAGTACTTGGCGCGTTTTAACAAATCTGTTAAAATGCCATCACGAACTGGGATATTCAGTCACCAATGCGCTGAAGTATTAGTTGATACTGTATCTCAGCGACTTTTTAAAGCCATTGCCTTATATTCGAAACACGGCTGCTTTCCAAGTTATTTTAGATGCAAAATGACTCACCCATTACGCCATGCGGTTGCCATAAACATGATAAAAGTCAAAGTCCACGCAGAAATTTCAATCTACAATAGATAAATCCACTTGATCACCCTTCCTGCATGCTGGGCTGTAAGTTTGTTAGTATAGTACTATTTCCTTCATTTTTCAAAACATACTTCATATGTCATCTCATTTATGAAGCCCATGGCTTTATAACTGAGACTGGCTTTATAATCAAATAATACAGGTGATGCCATGGCTTTAAAATTACGTGTATCACTTCAATGAGTGCCAGTAGATGAAAACTTGTCAACTGCATGGTGTGCTACGAAAGCTGTGAATTCGAATTTGTAACCAGGGAGTAGTACAATAATATTGTACTACTCCCTGTTTGTGACAGTTACTAGTGGCTGTGTCAGACTGTGCAATTATTGGATAGATAGCATAGCACCGCAGCGGGGGTTTTCGTTCTCAATAGTCAAGACTATTGGCACTGTATTGATCACTGCACGGTGTGCTCATTCAATGTTCCACTTGCGGATACAGCAGTCGCTGCCGGACGATGCCAGTTGTGTGTTGCTCATCCATACCAGGCCAGTGATAGTAGAAAGTGGATGCGCATTGCCGATCTTGATCTTGTTCTCATTCTCAATGTTCCACACATAGACGTTGGTGTCCAGACTGGACGACGCAAAGCGCTTAGAGTCCGGGGAGAAGGCAACGTCGGTGACACGCGCCGTGTGGTTGACAGCAGCGGCACGCACAAGCGTGAAGGTGTTCGCATTAAAGAGTCCGACCTCACGGGCGCCAGAACCCACAGCAAAGTGTTCCTGATCGTCAGCGAATACGATACAAGTTGGCTCACCAGCCATCGTCGTGATGTCACGTACGAATGACAGTTGGTTGCCATCAACCTTGAACAGGCGCAGGTTGTTGTCCTTGGCACCGACGACGACTTCCTTTGTTTTTTCACGGATGCCAATGGCGGTGGGCTGATAGTCAGTCTTCACGCTGCTCACGATGGCACGGTCCTTCATCAGGACAACCTGATCAACACAAGCGACAACTGTGTAGCCATCCTTGGTAGCTGCGGTGTCAGCAGGGCATGATGGCATCTTGACAGAGGTCTTGAACTCTGGCACCTCAGCAGGCAACTCAGCAAATCGAACAGTGTCGTCCATGGCGCAGGACACAAAGTTGCCACCAGCGATGGAGATATTCTGCACACCGTTGGAATGGCCGCTGCCGGATAGCGGCTTGCACTCTGACGACGCAGAGTTCCATGACATGGTGGACGAGTCATAGCTGCCAGTGAAGAACTGATTGCGGTCCTCACTGATGCTGAATGTGGTGATGTTCTTGCTATGGCCACGCACAACACGGCTCACAGAGTTGGAGGCCGGGTCCAAGTAGTTGATCACACCAGACAGGGATACGCTGAGCAGGTAATCACCCTGCCACAGGCAACCCAGCTGCTGATCGTCGACGTTCTTGCCGATTTCAAACGTGTTCACAACCGAGCGGCTCTCCACATCCCAGATCTTGCAGGTCTTATCGCCGGACGCTGTGAGAATGCGAGTTCCGTCACCGTTCCATGATGCAGCATAGATGCCACCCTTATGAGCATTCTCGCCATCGGTGAACTCAGCAACCTGATCCCCACTCTTTCCATCCCACAAGAACATCTTGCCGTCCTGGGCTGCAGAAAAGAATTGTTCACCGTTGGGGGCGTAACGCACTGAGTTCACGAATCTCTTGTGTACACGCATGTTTGTATTGAATTTGAATGGTGGACCATGGAGAATGGATAGAGCGAAGTCATCACCTCCAGTAACGATGCGGAACGGGCGAGTAGGCCGGTAGTCCACAGTGTTGATCGTTTTGCTGTGTCCTTGAATCTCTCCAACTGATGAGCCAGAGTCCCACAAGAAAACTCGACCGAAAGCCTCACGACCCTCACCAACAACAACAATTCTCTTGCTGTCTGGTGACCACTGTAAGTCCTTGATGGGTCCACCCAGGCAAGGATATTCATACTTCAAAATATGCTCGGCATTGGTGGTGTCCCAAATCCGAACTTTTCCGCTGACATCGGCAGAGGCGATGTAGAAACCACTTGGCGCATACCGGGCAACTGTCGTCTGAGCAGCATGCTGAGTGTAAACATCGGCAATGGAAGGATCGGCGATATCACGAACGATCACACTCTGTCCATTGGTGTAGACGAAATTCTTGCCTTTCGGGTCACCAGACAAGACCAGAGCACATCCACGCTGGGTACGTGGGAGAGTGGCAAGAACGCCAGCTGGAGTGTAAGACATCTTTCTAGCTTTCCGAAGAAGAGAAGAAGAAGAAAAACAACAGACAGCAACCTGTACTGGACAGCTGTTTTGATGTTGAAGCAAGTGAGGGGCGAGGATAGATCAGCAGATCTACCACTGATCTGCTGCAGCTTGTGTGTGTCACTTCGGATCGGGACTGACTGCGCCGCGTAGCTACCTGCATATCGGTACGTCGTTGTACTGTAAGAAGAGCGCGTATGCATATATGGTGACAGGTAGCTGCAACAACAGTGCACTGGGTACCGGTAGATCTACGGGGGTACCGGGTATACCGGTACGGGATAGCGTGATAGTTGTCGGGGTCACTGTCCACCGCACCCAGTCCGTGCGCCAGTTCAGAAAAAGTCGTCTAAAAGTTGCACTTTTATTTTCAAAATTTGCCAGATTTTGCAGTTTTCTCAAGATATCGCGAGACGAATACTCATTAGAGAGGTTTTGCATTCCGAATTTCGGAATAATTAATTATTTTCGACTGTGCTTTTCCGAAAAAAGCGCGTTCCGAAAAACGGTATTTTCAGTGTTTTGCATTCCGAAAATCTGATTCGACTTCGTTTCGAAGGGTTGCCATGCAAAACAAAATGGAGAGCGTCGAAGGGGTTGAGCAGGATCAAATCCATGCATGTGCGCAGGTCAAACTGAATTTGGGTGCGGTTCGAAGACGAGGACGGACTGATGGTGGACCAAGTGATCCAACAGCTGAAGACGAGGTCGGCGAACTACTGTCTTGTACTGTCAGTAGGCTCCATGGCAAAGGAAGATAGAATGTGATGGAGTGTGAGAAGATTAGTCAACATGGCGAGATCAGCGAGAGCAGCAAAACCAGCAAAAATCAAAACTACATAGATCTACGTGGAAAAATTTCAAATAATCGAGAGCAGCAGAAAGCAAAAATACAAACATGAAAAATACACTTTTTTGTATTCAAATATGCACTCCCAAACATGAAAGAGCCGAAAATCCATTTTCGGAAAACCATGCACTTTCGCCACCACACTTCCGAAAGTTCGACTACTTTTTCGACTGCAGCCGCCACATTCCGAAAATAATTCCGAAATTCGGAATGCAAAACCTCTCTAATTGCGTCGCCTTCGTCGTCCTTTGGTTTTCCTCTCCCGTGAGTTCTTCGTCTCAGATCGTTGTCGAAATCCAACCTAATAGTTGTTCTCTGCCCTAAGTTTTGTCCTTGGCGATAACAAATAACGAGAAGTTGAGTTCTCGCTCGTCGCTTGCGTTTTCGTTATATCACTGATATTTTGGTTGAACATGCTACAATTTCGTGCCGTTGGTTTGTACAATTTTGGCTTTTGCAAAACATCCGACAGCGGTGATACCAACCGCTTCGTCAACAATGTATTTTTGACACATTTTGACACACATGTGTGTGCCTTCAATCGGCGGACTTAGGAACGACCGACAGAATCGTTCAAGGGGTCCTAGTACTCTGCGATGTGCCAGCCAGATCATTGGCATTGTATCCGTAGACCACGAATTTACAAACAACACGAACCTCAACAGGTTGCTGGAGCTCCAAACACAAACCCTCGCAGATCAATGCATGTGCCTATATACTTGTATTATAGAATAGTAAATATCAAGCCAAATACAGTACTGAGGTGGGAAAGAAATATAAATAATTCATGCAGAGAGGGTGACACTACAAACACAGCACCTGAGCCAATGCAGAATTGAAGTGAAAAAATGGCATCTGCGGATGGCCAGAATATTGAATAAGGTGCTACAGTTTACAGCACAACCGCCATGCCATAAGCTACAACACATAAAGTACACATGCCCGTACCTTCATGCACGGTGGACGCATAGAGCAAAGAATATGTGTACCCACACACCCGTACATGCATGCACACAAGAATTGACACGTGTTCGTGCGGTTTTAAACAGACCCACATACGTCTGCATGACTGATTGTACCAAGAGTTCATAACCCCTGGGGGTTATGAACTCTTGATTGTACATGTAAACGCACGCATGTATGTAGGTGAACGAACATACACACCCATACCTGAACACACGCACGCATGCACTAAAGTATGGGAGCATGTGTACACGAAGCGTCACGTGATTGCATTCATAAGTTCACACAAGCCAGCCAGGAAATGAATGCACACTTGTAGTGATGTGGTAGATGCTACAACAAATGGGAGTATTGGCTAAATATTGCAATAAAGAGAGTGTTATGACAGTCATGCAGAGGTTCTGCTGTTACCAACGAAGTGGATGCCTCTCATGCTAAGTTCAAGATACATGTACTCTTATTTGAAACATACTTCGAGCAGCTTGTATCCAATCGTAGGCATCACGAGTCAAGGCAGCAGCCATCAATCTGTAAGATTCACTGATATTGAGGATTCGGACCAGGGTGGTGTACTAATCAAACTTGCATGAACACCTTGTTGAGCTGGATCTTCCCCACCGGCACAGCCACCTCGTGACTCTACCATTCGTTGTCTCTGCTCTCCTGCCTCGTTGCCTTCATTTCATTGGTAGGGTTGTGTTTGACGAAAAACCCATTTGACTGCCTTCCAGCAGATGGCTTTCAAATGTAAGCAGATATCATACATCACTTCAAGCTAGGACCACCCCAGTGGGAGAAATGAGGCAATCCACTGTTGGCAGCTGGAAGCATTTGACCTTGTTGACCATGGTGATATCTACATAGGCATCAATACACAGAGAGTGCAGTGTACACACACACACACACACCTTTTGACGCCCATCGCCGGAGGCGATGATAGCAATGTGTTGTCTATAAAAGGGGTTTCCGTTATTGCTTCACACCAGAGATACCAGTTTACGAGAGTCGGTAAAGTATATATTATCTCACAGGACGAGGACAGAATTATTCGACATCAACATTAGGGAGTGGATTCGACTTCTCACTAGATTATCGAAGTTTGGTTATCTCAGGCTGTGTTTACATGAAGCGTTTCAACCCGGGTTGAGTTCGACCCGGGTCAGATTTCAACCCGCCATGTGCACAAAGTGAATGGCGCGTTTACATGACGCATTGCGCTTGACCCGGGTTGAAATTTCGCCCCGGGTTGATTTCAACCCTCCCCCCAAGGGGAGGGTTGAAATCAACCCGGGTCAAGAAATTCGTACAAACGTACTTTTGTGCGTATCTCGCGCCAGGTTTGAACGGCACTATGCGGCGGCGCCGAATCCGGACGTTACAGATCAGGAGTTGCACTCGGCTAGTAATACACCGGTCCAAATCGCTGACCCTGACACCATCACCGACAGCCAGGCAACGCACCTATTGGCCACACTGGATGCCGGTGAAAGCCAACCCTCTAGCACTCCCAACTTCGACACAGACGCAACAGCCACTGGGGGCCCAGCTGGATCTGCAGACGGTGCAGAGGTCCCCGACCTACCAGTCTTCCCATCACTGGACCGCACCGCATTCCGACTTGGAGAACTGACAGGGGAAGACTCTGTGACAGCCATCGTTGAGGCGTATGAGGTTGTCGTCCACTTCCGCCCCAACCTGTTCCCAGTTCCCCAGGGCACCGTCGGTCGCTCGTTCATCTCCCAGCTGAGTGCCTTCTTCCACAGCTTTGGCAGTGCCTCGGCCTCAGAAGATGTCGCACTCAAGGCGGCGATGGTCTTCCCACAGCTGATGTTACAGAACCCGCAGGGCAACCATACCAAGCCGTCTCCACAGGAACACCTAAGGAGACGTCTAGAACTTTGGCGAACAGCAAGCCTGCCGGAACTGCTCCGCGAGTCAACCACCATCCAGAAGCAGGTCCAGGACAGGCACCAGCCAGCCGCCCGATCGACCCCCCCTGACCTGGCAAGGGCGTTCGCCGCTAATGTGTCCTCCGGCAAACTACCATCCGCCCTCCGTCAGCTATCAAGTGGTGGCTGCAAAGGAGTTCTCAGCCTGGACACCACTGTCGGCACTGATACCACCCGTGACCTTCTTATCAGCAAACATCCGGCAGGGGAGCCGGCTGATGCAGAGTCTCTGCTCACGGGTGAGCCACCTGTTCAGCCCCACAGAGTGATGTTCTCAAGCCTGACCCGTGACGTCATCCGCCGGGCCGCCCTGCACACCCACGGCGCGGCTGGGCCATCGGGCATGGACGCTGATGGATGGCGGCGCATGTGCACCGCGTTCTCCGAAGCGTCGGATGAGCTGTGTGACTCGCTTGCAACATGCGCTCGTCGCATTGCTACCACATACGTCAACCCAGCGACACTGGAGGCGCTCGTCGCATGCAGATTAATAGCCCTTGACAAATCGCCGGGTGTTCGACCCATTGGTATCGGCGAAGTGGCCAGGCGCATTGTCGGCAAAGCCATCCTCACTGTCACCGGGAGAGATATCCAAGATGCAGCGGGCACCCTTCAACTGTGTGCCGGTCAGGAGTGCGGCATTGAAGCTGCCATCCATGCGATGCAAGATGTCTACCGTGAGGAGGATGCGGATGCCATATTGCTCGCCGACGCTTCGAACGCCTTCAACCGGCTTAACCGTGAAGCCTGCCTACGGAACATCCGTCACCTCTGTCCCTCTATAGCGCCAGCTGTAATCAACACCTACCGCCAACCATCCCGCCTATTCGTTGATGGAGAGTGCTTGCTATCGTGCGAGGGTACCACTCAGGGTGACCCTCTGGCCATGCCCGTATATGCGCTTGGAGTCCTCCCGCTCATCAAGAAAGTTGCAGTGCCTGGTGCGAAACAGGGCTGGTATGCGGACGATGCTGCAGCCGGTGGCAAGCTAACGCCTGTTCGCCAATGGTGGGACAATCTCGTCAGCCAAGGTCCTGGGTATGGCTACCACTGCAATGCCCAGAAGTCACTCCTCCTGGTCAAGCCCTCCAGGTACGCAGCTGCTATCGAGATGTTCGAGGGGACCGGTGTGCAGGTCACGTGTGATGGTTGCCGCCACCTTGGTGCACCTTTGGGCACGGATGAGTTTATAGAACAATTTGTCCAGTCCAAGGTCGCCACCTGGTGTGAGGAAGTTGCGCAGCTCACGACCATCGCTGCATCGCAGCCACAGGCCGCCTACTCCGCCTTCACACAGGGCCTGCAAAACAAGTGGTCCTTCCTCTGCCGGACCTCCTCCATCCCGCCATCCTTGCTTGAACCGCTGGAACACGCAATCAGCGGTCGGCTCATCCCGGCCATCACGGGTCAGGCTCCACCTGGGACAACTGTTCGCTCCCTACTCTCTCTGCCTTGCCGGCTTGGGGGACTGGGTATGGCAGACCCTTGTTCAGTGGCTGAACAGTACACCTCATCCCGAAGGATCACGGCTAGCCTCGTGTCTCGCCTGCTGGAGCAGGAGTCGTCTCTTGGCGACTCTCTGACTCAGCTCCGGACGGTCAAGGCGACGGTTCGGGCCGAGAAGCGGAGCGCGTTCAAGTCTATGGCTGACGCTCTTCGCTCGGATCACCGGGAGCTGGCCCCTGTTCTCGACCTGGCCTCAGAAAAGGGTGCATCCAGCTGGCTGACCTGCCGCCCCCTCAGCCGCCATGGTTTCACACTCAGCAAGGGAGATTTCCGGGATGGCCTGTGCCTCCGGTACGGCTGGACACCTCCTCGGCTCCCAAGCCTCTGCGTGTGCAGTAAGCCGCTGAATGTGAGTCACGCCCTGTCGTGCCCGTTTGGTGGCTTCCCGACGCTGCGACACAACGAGGTGAGGGACATCACCGCCAGAGCTCTGAGGCAGGTCGCTCACAACGTGACAGTGGAACCCCACCTCCAGCCCGTCACCGGAGAGGCCTTCCGCCATCGCACAGCTGTCACGGAGGAGCAAGCTCGGCTGGACGTTGCGGCTAGTGGTGTGTGGGGTGGCCGATTCGAGCGCATCTTTATTGATGTACGGGTGTTCAACCCTTTTGCGTCTTCGAATCGTGCCACCTCCCTCGCTGCTAGCTACAGACGCCATGAGCAGGAAAAGCGCCGGAAGTACGAGGAGCGAGTACGTGAAGTTGAGCATGCCTCCTTCGTGCCCGTTGTGCTCTCTGCCTCTGGTGGCTATGGCAAGCATGCCAATGCTCTTTTCACGCGGATCGCCTCTCTCCTGGCTGAGAAGAGTAAGGAGCCATACGGGCAGGTTATCTCCTTGCTGCGCTGCCGCCTTGGGTTTGCCCTGGTGCGTTGTGGTGCTATGTGCCTGCGTGGCTCAAGGAGCATGTTTGCTCCTGCCATGCCTGAGTCCCCTGCTGTGCTAGTGGCGGCGGAGGCACGCATCCAGTGAACCTGCACAGTGCAGTGATCCTACTGAGTGACAGACTCTGTAAATACTGTATATGATGATTCGTTTTTATATATGTGTTGATTCTTCACAAAATGTGTTATTTTGCCCGTACAAGAGGCTCAGTAAAAAAAAAAAAAAAAAAAAAAAAGGTTTGAACGGCACTGCGCTGTGACTGCAGATGCAAATTTCGCGCGAACGGATTCACGTGACCATACAGGACTGGAGATTCTGGAGAAGTGGACTTTTGGCGGCATATCAGTATTTGACCCGGGTCAACTGTCTTCATGTAAACGCTTACCTCTTTTGTCTATCGTACAGACTTTCAACCCGGGCTGAACTCGACCCGGGTTGAAATTTCTCATGTAAACACAGCCTTATTAGAGTGAACTAGAATAGAATGTACGGTACAATGCATGAGCGCGCCCATTTAGCTGGGCGCGTATTATTATGTGTATAGCCCGACTATGTACACTATAAAGGGATGTAATTAGATCAAATGTACGGTGGGTTTTTATGTGCAGGGGCAGAAGGAGGGAAAACGGGCTACAAATGTGTACGGTACTAATTATAACATGCAGGGGCAGCGGGGAAATGGGTCAAATATGGTTATAAGTGTGTACGTACTACTGCATGCAGGGCTAGGGGTAGGGGTAATGGAGTGCGTATGAACTACTGCATGCAGGGGTAGGGGGTAATGGAATGTGTACGAATTACTGCATGCAAGGGTAGGGGTAATGGAATGTGTACGAATTACTGCATGCAAGGGTAGGGGTAGGGGAATCATGCCGGGGTCGGGATCCAAATATGGGATGCGTATAACATTACCTCCCCCCGTGGGGAACAAAAATCGTGTCCCCACGATCTAGGAAAAAAAATTGATAATACTAAAAATTAGGCATGCATTTTAACAAGCACACATATACGTACATGTAAACCACTACGCACATACGAGTCCGACATGCACGCATTCCGCAGACACCCACATGTACAAACAGAACACGTGTAAGGCAAGTGAATGATAGAAAGAGATGTAGAGAGAAGAAAGAGGGAACCAAAAGAAGAGTAGGTGCAAGCAGAGAAGATCAGGAGTCGTGCATGTTGTGGTTCTGGAAGTGGAGTAACTCCGTTGGGGAAGTTCTTGCTGCTAGTCGGGGTGCAACGGACGTAGAACTCAGTGGATGCAGCATCCTGAGGTAAGCTCAACTCAGAACGAACACAAAACACAACCACAAGCACACAACAAGAATGCAAAGCTGTTGGGGGAAGCTCAACAGCGAGGACGAACACTCAGCTGGAGGCATGGAAACAAATGGGCCAAAGGTGAGGGAAAGAAGCTAGGGAAATGATGATTCCTCGCACTTGGGAAGGGCTAAACTCCACAGCGAGGACGAACACTCAGCTGGAGATGACAAGCAAAGGGGCTTAATGAAA